TCCATCTCTGCATAACATTTTATCTTTATTAGCATTAAAAAAAAAGAAAAAAAGAAAGATATATTGTGCATATATTCAGCATGTTTTGCTGAAAAAACTCTAGCAACTTATCGGCGTGATTGGGGTGTAACGTATTTGAGTGACACGCTAATTTATTTTGCTACATGGTGTCTGCTTCCAGCATTTTTAGACACACCAAACACTTTCCTCTTCTCCAACTGTGATCACAGTGAAGCCAAGCACTAAATACGCTTCGTCGTATTTCCTCGTCTTAGCTTTCGGGTGACTTTCTTTTGTCTCATTATCTTTGTCTCTCTTTTCTTTTCATCCCTGTTAAAAACTTTTTCATTTTGGGGATTGTTATGTTGAATAACGGAGGCTATAGATAGAACGCAGTCGGAGCTTTCTGTTGACTCAACACTGGCAACCAAGGCAAAGCTGTTGTCTTGTAAGTGGTAAAATGTTGTACTGTCCCAAACGTGATAGAAGTAACAATGAGAGCGCCACTTCCGCCTACTGCAGTGGATGCACAATTACACTTTATACTAGTACGGCCAAAAAAAGGGTCACACGCGCCCCCCCAGGTATCGCACCGCACCCCGAAGAAGGGGCCCGCCCCACTATTTGAGAAGCACTGCGCTATAGAAATAAACTGAATTTAATCAATTCTTCTTCCAGCAGCCAGCTGAAGTCGATCCGCGGTAACCTGACTCCGCCAGATGGATTTGCTCCGCATATTTTCCGTTGAAATAATTTTGGGAAGGGGCGAAAATACTGGTTAGCTGATTGGCCCATGTTGGTGATAGACGGGCCAAATAAACCAATCAGATCTCGCGAGCTTTCAAGGTTTCACTCGCAAATCAGTCTGGAGACTCTCTGTTAAAGAAAATTTGGAGCCGTTCACCAAACGAACGTCCAATCAGCGTTGGCTTTGAGGCGGATTGAGGTGTGACGCAACGAGAAGCGCGACAGTTCAGTCTAAAGAACATGGCGGCTTCAGCCGATGAAACTAGCGTTAGCGTGGCTATCGAGCAAGTTTTATGGGAATTACAGAGTATTTCTTCACTGAAAGAAGAGCAAAACACTGCTCTGGAGGCTTTTCTCAGAGGAAAAGATGTTTTTGCTCTTCTCCCGACTGGTTTCACCAAGAGTTTGATCTATCAATTGGCTCCTCTTCGTCGTCGCTCTGTTAGTACGTCATATGCTTCGTTGATCTTATTGGTTTATTTGGCCCGTCTATCACCATCATAGGCCAATCAGCTAACCAGTATTTTCGCCCCTTCCCAAAATTACTTCAACGGAAGGTTTCCAGATGGATATGCGGAGCAAATCCATCTGGCGGAGTCAGGTTAGCATAATGCTGCCACCACCGTGCCTGGAAGTTGAGAGACGTCCATTGCGAATGAATTAGACACACTCGACAGAGTAAAACAGGCTCACTCTTATTTTAACAAATATGAACATTTGATTATTCAGAAAAAGAAAATTAATTAAAAGCTCAGACTGTAATCCTGTCCATGACTGGAGGAAAACTAACAGTGAAGCGTTCAGCCTCTGATATGAGGTTTAATTTTTTATATTTGTTGTTCCAGGGTCTTTAGTTTAGAGAGCAGGAGAGAAAAGCTTCAGATGGGATCTTAATGAAAGCTGAATAACGACGGTCTGACCTGCATGGAGTTCCATGGCTTGATGAAGGTGCAGATCAGATCCAGCTGATCCTCCGGTTCTTGGACCTGAATCTGGCTGCCAGGCTTGTAGCTGGAGAACAGACTCCTGCTTCGGGCCCTCAGCTGGTTCAGCATGGCGTCGCTCACAGGGGACACATCCCAACAGAAACGCTTTCAACCAGAAGAAGAGAAAACATCCTGCAGGTTTTCTTTTCTCCTCACATTCAGCTCAGACCTGCCTCAGAGAGGAGAAGTCGTCATCCGGCGCCGCTGGCTGAGATGATCCGGGTGCTTAAAGTTTTAAGCACTATTATCCTCTGCACTCCATCTTTCCACGTCTCTCTCTCTCTTCATGTCGCCACAAATCTGCCGGATTTACAGCAAGATCAGGAGCTAAACACTTAAACACTTTATAGGCGTCATTATGAGGCTTTGCTTGCTGAAGATGAGTTAAAGGTTACAGCTCAGGTTTTTATGTCAGTTATATGTTTTATGTGAATTATCTGCTAATTTAAACCACAAATTTTTTAAATCTAAAGAATAATTTTCCTTATATGTGAGGATTATGAGGAGCTGTGCTATGCTGGCTAATCTAGTAAAGAGGATAAATTTGGACTGGATTAAAATCCTTCAGGAGGATTTTATCTTTATGACCAAAAAGATTCAGGTAATAAATCCATTAATTGAAAACTTAATGGAGGCACTCGGCATAAAAAGGTCACATGACCTGATCAGTTTGACTTCAGTTCATAAACTCCTGTAATTTGCTTTGATTTGATTCATCGTATAAAAACATTTCAGGTGATGAAAGCTTAAAACAAAACGACATGGGAAGAATCAGACGATTGAGAGACACATGGATCTATCTGGGGTGGCCATCTTTGATGCGGTGGAACCTTTATCTGGTTCAGAGCACTGGGTGGAGATCAAGGAACGGTTCTGCGGTGGTTCAGGTCCTCCTCTGCTCCTCTCTTATATGGAGTCCCTCAGGGTTCTGATGTGGGTCCCCTTCTTTTTGCTCTTTGCTCCCACCTGGTTAAGTTCTTGGGAAGCACTTTTCCCTTTGATGCAGACGGTAGATTTATTTCTCACCGAGGCGAAACAAACCTGTTCAATCTCTTCTGACATGTTTGGAAAATGTGACATTTTTAGACACTTAAACATTTTTCATTTTGTATATACAGATTCTAGTTTTGGCTTATTTATTTTTTCTAATTATACCTTTTAGATGATGGAAAGTGCGGCCATCTTTAATGCTTTTATCATCTTTCCTTTTTAATTTTTAGGTTCTGATTTACTTGAAGCAGCTCAGTATAAATGGTCATAATGTTGAATTAATGTCTTCTTTGGTTTTTCTGCTGGGATTAAGTGTTGCTCCTAATCCCATTCCATTTTCAGATCTACTTTCTTGCCTTCAGTGAAGGAAAATCTCTCCACCTTACATCTCATATAACCAGATAAATGAACCATATCGGTTCAAACACCGTATAGAAAATCAGTTCAGGTTTGTTTTCTCAGGAAACGGCAGACGGAGCCCTGAAGCTTCAGAATTTAACATCTCAAGTCCCTCTCCTCCTTAATCCTGGTTATTATCCGACATTTCGCCTCCCGGCGGTTGGATAAGATTAATCCGGCTGGCAGGAAAATGGGGATGATGAATGGATGAACGCAGCTCTGCGGCTGTCATGGCATCTCAAATGCCATCCTAACATTTGGGGAGGAGAACATCTGGAGCTGCAAACAACTCGGAGCATTTAGATCCCATCATTACCGGCTATATGGTTCAGTTTATAAAAATGTTAGTTTTAATATAAAAAACTAAGAATTTTCCACTGAGGTCAGAGTTGAAATAACTGACCGAATAACCTTCAGACCAAACACCTTTAGGCCACGGCTCCTTTAACGACGGAAAGGCCAGGGAGACCAAGCATGAAGTTTAAAGGTGGGAGGAAGATTTATTCTGAGAAAAGTAGAACCTTGATGTCCAACATTACTGGCAGGAGAAGCAGAGGCCAGCTGAGATGTTTAATGCGGCGCCATCATGGTCTGGGCTGCCCTTCACCTTCCTTCAGTGGAAGGATAGCGCCCCAGGCTGTTCAGGAGGTCAAACAGCAGCTGGCTGAGTGGAGATGTTTCAGCAGCATCCATCGTCACTAAGGGCCTTCATCAGGGTGATGATCGGGTTTAATCGGCAGGACGTGAAACTCAGTCTGACCTGAAGTTTGTTCCAACATCAACTTTCTATTGGTCCATCCTGCACATTTCAAACCAACCGAGAACCTTTGGGGAGGGAGGTCCATAAAACTGGACTCCAGCTCCAGTTAGCTTCCAGTTAGTTAGCTTCTACCAGCGTTATGGAAACACGCGCTTCCAGCAGGCTAATGCCGATTTATGGAGCTTCTCATTACAGGCAGGATGATAATCTGGATGAACTGACTGCAGTGACCATGTTTTCAGGAGGACTTTCTCACTTCATAGATTCAAACTACTTTTTACCCACTGATCACAGCTAATAAAGCTGCCATTGTTCCAGTTAAAGAAAGGATAGGGTAGCTCCGCCCACCGCGCATCAGACTAAGGGTGTGCAAAATAATAGTCATGACGATGCATCGCAATTCTAATTTTTGTGATCTACTGCATCGATTCTTGAAGGCAAGAATTGATTATAAAAAAAAAAAAAAGAATTACAATACAGTAATGGTTGGCGCACATCAGCCAGACCAAGTGTAATACAACTTCCAGTCCAGCAGATGTCGCTGCAGATGCTGCCTTGTGTCACAAGCATTTCCGGCCGTGGGATACTGCGACGAGTCATGAAATGACTGAAATGACTGAGACAATTCGCCCCGCGGCTCCATCACATTTCAAGTCAGATGCTTGGATGCATTTAGGCTTTAAAAACAAAGAAGGTAAAAATGAAATTGACATGATGTGAAAATATCGCAATGCATCGCGATACATCGCAATATTTCAAGTATCGTGATAGAATCGCATCGTGGCATGTGAATCGTGATTTGAATCGATTAATGACTTTTTTGCCAATACCTACGGAAGAGGATTAGGGCCACTGGGAAAAAAAACTAAACTGATTTTTAAATTTTATTTCAGTTTAAAATGGGGAAAAAGTCAGAATTCTGACTTTCTTCCCCCCCATGTTAAACTGAAATTAAATTTAAAAATCATTTTTTTTTCAGTGGCCCTAATCCTCTTCCGTAAATACCCACCCCTACATCAGACCCACTTTACCACCACGCAGCTGGAGCAGCAAAGATGCTTCAGCCGCGCGTCAGAAGAGGCCGAGGAAAAAAATAAAAATAAAAAATGAGCAGACGATTCGTTTTGAACACTGATTTAGTTTTAATTCAAAATTACTTTAGGAATCAGATCATTTCCAGATGCAGTTTCATTATTTTCTCCTTCACTGTACAAGGCTATAAAAAGTTCACAGCAACAGCACAAACATACAAAATAGTCATTTACCAAATTCAGCCATTTTTTTTCCTTCCGTTCTGAAATAAGCCGGAGCTCTGAGGTCTCCAGCCATAAACAAAGTCCGTTTATACAATCTGATTTACAGAGAGAACTTTGATCAAAGTGCATCAAACCGTGTCCTGATTTACAGTCACGTCTCTGAGGGAGGAAACATATTTACACTGTTTACAAACGCTGTAACCATGGCGACGTCAGCAATAGTAATCCGAATGTGCAAGAAGAGAGCGATAAAAAGAGGCCCCAACGTTTGCTTCAGAACCGGGTAAATATTCGCCCTCTGCGTCGTCTCCAAACATGTTCCCCGTTAAGACCTGAGAACCGGGATCCTGGTTCCAGTCAGATCCAGGAAACCGTTTGATAAAGTTTCAGCCTCGGCTGAACCCAGAAAGAACGGCTGAGCAGAGACCAAACCAGAACAAAAAAAACAAAAATCCATAAATAAATTCAGAACGGCTGTGAAGCCAACATGGAAGTATTCACATAATAAATAACATTTCCTCTTCACCACAGATCAGGACTTAATGCACTTCTGAAGGCATGTGGTTCAACTGTAAGGGCTGCTGCTACGGAAACCCGTTGGCATGGTAACAAGGAGGCAGCCATGTAACTGAGCAGGTTTCCGCGAGAACGAAGAAGTCCGAGAATCAGGATAAATCGTCTTCTGTGCTGACGATAGAAATCTGTGACGAGAGAAGAAACTTTCATCAGTTTAGACGTTTCTACCTTAAATAATGTTAAGTAAATTAGTCTAATAAAATATCACTACATGCAGATTAAGATAGTGAGTGTTATACATACAGGTCATTTCATACATTTACCATCAATTACTGGTTCAGTTTGATTTAATGGAGTGAATTTTATTCCATTATTGTTGAAAAAAATAGCTCAGGTTATCCTGATCTATCTCTATAGTTCTGCTGCTATAGGCTTAGACTGCTGGAGGACATAGGGACCCCTTTTTCATCATTCTATCTCTATTCTCCCACTCTGCAGAATCTGTTAGTTCAATCTCTAACGTTCTGCTCTCTCCGCTTTTTCTCACTGAGCCTGGTTCTGCTGGAGGTTTCTTCCTGTTCAACGGGAGTTTTTCCTCTCCACTGTCGCTACAAGCATGCTTAGTGTGAGGGATTGCTGAAGAGTCAATGAGTCGATGCAATCAGCTGGTTTTCCTTAGATAGAAAACTTTGAATCAATGATCTGGTGAACTGGAAAGTGACCTGAGATGACTTGATGGGAATAGGAGGCATAGAAATTTTTTTTGAAGTTACATTTGTAGATTACATTTCCAGAATTAAATTTCCAATTCCGTTTGAGTAACTTTGCCATCTTTGATTTTTTGTTAGTTTAAAAAACATTTTTTTTTTAAATAAGTTTGTGTTAACTGAGTTTTAGGAATCCCATCGTCTCAAAGACAGCAAAGTTACTCGATAATTTTTGATTAAGTTTCTTCTCATAATTGTATTTTTTTTATTTTTTTATTTACAAAACTCTTCATTCCAGCAATAATGGAACAAAATTCACTCCGTATCTCTGCATCCGCTCTCCTATTAGACAAATTATCCCCACTTATGGAACTACTTTATATAAAAGGATCCTAAAATATTTTCATACGAAGACGAAGCATCTTTTAAAGTTTAATCAACATATCTGAGCGCTGAGGTGAGCGATTCTGCCTCAGAGACATTGAGAGATATTTGCTCAAAGTCTAAACAGCTTTGAGAGAAAATATGCCTTTTTATTTCTCCATTAACTCCGATCATCTACTTCAGGATATTTTTCTGAATTTTCCAACAGGCTGAACTGATTCTACTCCTCTTGGCTCCATATTTGATGCTGGCCTCATTTAGAGGTGAAACGAGTGCGTCTGCTGCAGATGTGAGGTTTCAGCCTCCTAGTAGCTCAGAGTTAATCTGTTTAATCTGAGAGATGCGCTCCAGTCAACAAACACGGGATTAACGGAGCATAAGGTTAAGTTTGGAGGACGAGTCGCCATCGGGAGGAAAACTGCTGCAGGAACAGGTTCCTAATCTCCAGCTGGTTGTGATGAAACCAACTCACCGCTGGGTAGGTGTGGCCTACGTTGGCGCCGTGGCGAGTGATGTCGATGTTTAGGTCTTCTTCTGTGGTTTTAAGGTAGACTGGGTTGTCGAAGTTCATGCTCTTATGGTTTTTCAGCTGCCAGTTCCTCCACATCAGGTAGGCGCCCGCCCCGGCCATGGCCAGCAGCACTGCAGCGGGGGTCAAAGGTCAGATAAGGGCTGGAGTTTGAGGCTGATGTTTCTCTGTACTTACAGACAGGCAGGATGGCCCAGGCTGCAGCAGAGCCTCTGGCTGTGGAGTCCACCTGGATGGACGAGCTGATGTTTGCTTCTGGAAGAGAAAAACAAAAGCAGCTCAATGACCTGCTGTCTGCTTGTTCTGATGAAGACCATCTGCAGGATGGAAACTAAAGTTCTCTACATCTACAGGAACACAGATCAGCAAAGAGAACAAAGCAGGAAACCTTTAAGACTTAAAACTTAGAAACAGGATCTCTAAAAACAAGCAGCAGAGAGTTAAACTAGTTCAGGTCCATGAAGAGGATCATCTCAGCTTCTTAAAGGAAAAGTCGCTCATATTCAGAATCCAAACTTCTGAAAGTTCTTTAAATGTGAAATGATTCCATCCTGTTCAATAAATGATCAGTGTTTTTAATTCAGAGTAATTTTCATGTGAATGCGCTTTACTGGAGGCATCCATGTTTGTCAAAGAACACTACTGCCACCTACTGGTATGTGACGTCACGGTGCGGTATCGGCTGTTGATCAAGTCCCAGTGCTGTATCTGGTGTTTGTCACAACGCGCTATTATCCAAGTCATCTTGAAAACATTCTTCTTCCAAATGTTGGCTACATATTACGGGTTTTTTCTCTGGCCAGAAGTTCGATGGCAAATCCTCCCTCTTCAAGTTGGCGATCCAACGACCAACCCGTCCGTGGAGGATCAGGAATCAGAAAGGTGGAAGAACTCTTTTTCACTTTTCCCCGATGTATTCCAGCATCCAGCTGCCATGCACGTGGGCATTGTCAGTTTCACTATAGCTCTGGTGAATTTCAATGGTGAAGTCCTCTGGCCTCGTGAGACCATCCTGATCTCGCGAGCTTTCAAGGTTTCACTCGCAGATCAGTCTGGAGACTCTCGGTTAAAAAAATTTTGGAGCCGTTCACCAAACGAACGTCCAATCAGCGTTGGCTTTGAGGCGGGTTGAGGTGTGACGCAACGAGAAGCGCCACAGTTCAGTCTAAACAACATGGCGGCTTCAGCCGATTAAACTAGCGTTAGCGTGGCTATCGAGCAAGTTTAATCGGAATTACAGAGTATTTCTTCACTGAAAGAAGAGCAAAACACTGCTCTGGAGGCTTTTCTCAGAGGAAAAGATGTTTTTGCTCTTCTCCCGACTGGTTTCTGCAAGAGTTTGATCTATCAATTGGCTCCTCTTCGTCGTCGCTCTGTCAGTACGTCATATGCTTCATTGATCTGATTGGTTTATTTGGCCCGTCTATCACCAACATAGGCCAATCAGCTAACCAGTATTTTCGCCCCTTCCCAAAATCACTTCAACGGAAGGTTTCCAGATGGATATGCGGAGCAAATCCATCTGGCCGAGTCAGGTTAGAAGTCCTCTGGAAATCTTCAATAATTGTTGTTGATTGCAGATGTGTCTAGTAGTTCCCATTGATTTAGCTTGGAAAGCGGGGAGAATGGCGCTAGGCTTACCGCACCGTGACGTCACTGCTGGAAGATGGCAGAAGCGAGGGGCTACTAGATTTGGGCAAAAACGGCCTCTCCCAGACTCAATGATCACCACGAAAATTATTAAATTTTTCTTTACTTTTTAATACTAAATTCATTAAATCGATCGTATTAGTTTCAGGTATAAATAATGATTCGTTGATTATTCCTCGCTGATCGGACTTTTCCTTTAAACACGGTTTATTAGTTAAATTATGTGAATTTTAACTACAGAAGAGGAAGTGATGAAATCTGCTGCTTGAACTAAAACTTTCTGGACTGATTAACATTTACTTTAGGTGGACGATCGCTAAAATCTCTCCTGCAGAGCGTCTGCAGCAAAACAAGAAACAACCAGGTTTACGTTAAAGATAATCTGAACGACCTTCATCCTGACAATCTGAACAGTTTGATTCACAGGAAGCCAGCAGCACAGAAATACTCTGATTACAAACCATCAGACGTTCCTACTGAAAATCAGGCCGGTGACTAAACAATTAAAATTTAAGATACATTTACAGTAAATATCCTAAAAGGAAGCTTAACCCTTCATAGGACATTCAGTGAAATACTTGGAAAATGCAAATTTCAAGCCAATAGTGTTATTGGAATCCAGGACAAGACTTTATTACCTTTGTAACATTAAAAACAAATATGAATATTTTAATAGAAAAAATATAAATTTAATAACTGCCAACTTGCTCAAATATATTAAGAAAAATAACAAAAAATCCTTCTATAAGAAGTGAAAGAAACATTTTATTTGGTCCAACATAACAGAGGCATTAATAACGATACTGGCACTTAGATATTTTAGTTTATAAACCTAAATATTTTTTTTAACTAGGCTTATAAACTTTTCAATTAGCTTTTGACTTTGACTTCTTAACTTTTTTTTTCTTTCAACTTGTAGCCATGTAGCAGGATATTTGCTGAATGGCTGGATATAGATCTTGTGCTTCTAGACCTCACTGAGGGAAGTAGACTACATTTGTAAGGGAGAAGCAGGTGATCAAAAATGCTAACTCTCCTATAGAGGCGTTAAAATAAAAGACTTTCTGCATTTATCCAATCTTCCCACCAAAAACCCCTCGAGAAGCACAGCATCAGGTCGTTACTTTGACTAGACCAAAGCTTTTCAGGTCTAGTCAGACATTTCTCCGTGATAGAGCGGCGCTGCATACCTGCTGGCTGACATCAGTCCATCTCTATCCAATCATTTGTTTGAAATGGTGCATTTATTTTGGAATCGTTATTTTATCATTTAAATGAAAGAAAAGCCTTTAAACAAAAACAGCAGTCATTAAACGAATCCTTTCAGCGCTGCCATGAAGGAAAGAGAAACCTGATCTAATGATGAAGATTCATTCCAGAACCTTTCAGAAACTTCAACCCTTTGGTAGATAACACTCTGCTTTCAACCAATCTTTGCTCCCCTGATTAAAAAACTAATCACACCCAAACATTTAGGGATGATCTCATGAAAATGGGAAAAATTAAACTTATTGAAACGGCAAACAAGCAGAGTTCACAGGAAGATTGATGCACAAGATATCAAAACCTGCACTTACTCCCCTCTACCACTAGATGGTGATCCTGAGCCGCTGGATTAGGTCAGAGTCTCCATGTGAGAAAGAATCATCATAGGAAATGGTTTAAAATGAGTGTGTACGTTGGTTCAGATTAAAATCCTGCAGGGATTAACGTCTTTAAAAGGATTAGGAGAGAAAAACGAAGCATTCAGGATGTTTAAGTCATTTAAAGGCTTCCAGGCTGAAATGATCCAAAGCAAACGGCTGATAAATGATTCATTGATTCCATTCATCCATCTTTAGATCTGATCAGACGCAGATTAATAAACAGTTTCAGGCATCTGGACGACATCTGATGGACACTGAAGCAGCAGAAGGAGGAGGGATTTTAGGGAGAAGCAACCAACGGATTAGTTAGAGGGTTAGTTAGTGAAAACTCTGAAGGTAGAGGTAACATAAAGCCCTACAGGAGGCCGGGTGAGCAGAGGGGCGACGGCGGCGCACGGTTTTACCTTTAGGCGGCTGCGTTAGCGCTTTGCTACCATCCTCTGAGGGATCTTTGGAGGAAGACTCTGCCACAAGAAGAGGCACAACTTTAAGCATCGGGTAGAAACAGGTTCTCTGTAGAGAGAGCTGGTTAACCTGAGGTCAGCTGCTTTGTTTTTACCAAACTGATCATAATCCTGCTTCAAGGCAGCATAGAGTCAGACTGAGGTCTGCTACGTTTGAAAGCCCTGCTGCTCATGAAGACGCTTCCAGTGGAGAACATGAGGCTCTGAGGTGGACTGGAAACCTTATGGATCCGACAGCGTTCATCACTGCGGTGACGTCACACTGCGCCAAGATTAGGCTAGAAATAAGATCTGATTCCTAAGAAACTCAAAATGCAGCTGTTACCATGACAACTGGTACAAGAACTAGAGCTGAAACAATCCGATTAATCGATTATTAAAATCTACCTATTTAGGCTCACTGGAGACCGTAAAACATGCCTTTAGCTTACAGAGCGACTCAGCAGGAATTATATCAAAATTGCATATATAAAATATATAAAATTTTGAATATAAAAAAAAAAGTCACCTTTCAATCTCCTCTATAATCCAGAACAAGTGGAAAACTTTTAGTTTCACTTTGTAAGAAATAAATTATTCTTATTCTTAACATCTTTAAGTAGCCTGTCTGATTAATAGAAAAATGTAACAGATTTATCAATTTGCAAAATAATAGTTGAGTCCTAACAAAGACTCAATCTTGTTATTTGTTAAAAAGTCTAAATGATTTACAGCAGTAAATAAAATTTAAAATAAAACCTTAAACGATTCTTTTCCGTTTCCATTTAAATTGTGCCATAAAAGCTTTTCCAAGTTTCAAATGTTAACTCAAAGTATTTGGAAAAGTTACAATAGACCAAAATAAATAAAATTAGTCAGATTCAGTCCGTTTGGTTTCATTACGTCGACCGAGAGAATCGCTGACGATGAACCGCAGACGCCGCCATGCGAATGAAAGCATCCGGCTGGACAAACTTTAAAATCAGATAATCAGAAGCTGCTGTGCTGCAGCTAAAGTTACTAGATCACTGAAACCTTAAGATATAAAGGAAATGACTGGATCAGAGTCTTCATCTGATATTAGATCCAGTAAGCCTTTTTTCAGTTATTTTAATTTTAATTTATTTGTTTTTATTGTCATTACATCATCAGAAGCCATGGAATTAACCCTCTGCATTTAACCCCTCCCCTCGGGGAGCAGTGGGCTGCCATTGTGCAGCACCAGGGGAGCAGTGTGGGGTTCAGGGTTTTGCTCAGTGTCTGTGGCAGTGGGAGTTGAACCTCTAGATTCCAAGCTCTATGCCCTGACCACTAGTCTGCTGTTCTGTCCAACCAGCTGACCCATAGTCAATTCCAGTTTAGCCCTTTAGTTCATCCAGCCCTCAACCGCCTTTAGGTTAAATGATTAAAATAAACCGATGCGTCAGTCCTAGAATCTGCAAAAAGCTTCGTCATCTTCATCATCAAAGGCAGATTATCCCGTATCAGCATCTGGATGTGAAGCTCTGAGGAGAAATAAAGCTTTCCTGGAGGATCAATCTCCTTACAGAGAGAAACAGAGTTTCAAACCTGAACTTCTAGGATCCCTGCCGTCTCTAAAGGCAGCCTTCAACAGAGAAACAGTCTGCAGCTTTCAGTCCAGCTCTGAATGGAGGAGCGCCTCTGTTCACTTTGTCTCACTAACGAGATTAGAGGCGCTAGGAGCCGCGCCTCACAAAGCTCCACGGTTCCCGCCGGGTCTGACTGAGGCAGCTGGAAAATGGGCTGGATGTTTCGGAGCAAAGAGCAACGAGGCGTCCTGGAAACGGCCCAATTAGTCCGCAGACGGACTCTGACAGCCGCGCCTTCGCTTCAGCCCAGAGAGAAGGACCGGCGGCCATAGAGATGGGACAAATAGAAGCTGGCTGACCCTCAGAGACGCCCAGACTTTAAGACAGAAGGTTTAAACTCCAGGACACCCAGATCTGTCCTATAGTTCCTCCACTTATGCCTCACCTATTGCAGAGATAATTTAAACATTTAAATGATCTATAACGAGGAAGCCTGATGAGAAAGGGTGGAGGAAGAATAAAAGACTACGACCAAAGGTAGAAGATAAAAAGTTTAGTAATGTACGAGAAAAGGAGACAATGGAAGAACATGAAGACATTAGGAAGGAAAAATAGAAAGGAAACAGGAAAGGAGGAAAGAATAAAAAGAAAAGGTTGATTTAAGAAGAGCCACTCAAATGAAATGAGGAATAAAGTCCAGATTAAATGAAACCAATTAAAGATCCCAACTGAAAAAATGTCTCTGCTGCTTTAAAAAGGTTGTAAAAAGGCAGAACGGCCTGCAGAGCTGCTGATTACAGCTTTACTGGGAAGGAAGCTGGTTTATAAACCTCTACTGGTCCGGTCCAGCTCAGACTGGGGACCAGTCAGCCATCAGGGAATGATGGGAGCCTGAGGATCCATCATCTGCATCGCCATAAGCTCCAATCAAAGGCTTTAATTTTTCACTGCAGGAAGCAGAAGAGCTGCTGATGGATCAGAGACGATGCAGCCTGATCGCTTTTCTAACATATCTGGACTATATTCAACACGTTGCCCACCCCTACCCCCACCTCGGCCTAGTCAAAGTCCAGATCCTTATTCTCTTCCTCTCAGATCGAGCTGAACTCAAACCCTGAGTCATTTAAAACCAAAACCTTCAGAAATTAGCCTTTTTAACATAATTTCAGATTTAATAACCATCTTTAGGTGAAACTGTTGCTTCATTCATCTGATCTCTGCTAAACTAAAATGTTTCCTTATTAAATTAACAGAAAATCCATCAAATTAGGATCAGAATCTGTGATTCTAATTAATATTTAGAACCTTTGTATTTAACCATCTACAAACAAACAAAGATGGCGTCGATGCAGACCGTTTCTTTTGCTAGAGTCGGTCTCTCACGGGCGCCGTCCTGCGAGTTCTGGAGCCTCCGGCTGAAGTTTGAGTCCAATTAGTCGGGTATGTGCAGCGGATTCAGCTGTCAGGTTCCTGTCCGACTCCGCTTTAGGTTTGAAAAGGCTAATCTGTGGGAGCAGAGGAAGGAGCTAGACCGCAGCCATGACGGAAAACAAAGCCGGCAAACGGCGTCTCTAAGCAACCGTGTTTCCATCGGAGAGGAAAGGGCAGGGCTGCTGTTCTCCTTTCATTCCTAGAAGCACTAATTGCTCCAAACAATCATCCAACTACTTCATCCTGCACCTTTGCAGACATGAATTTTAAGTTGTGCCTTAAAGACTTTGGGTCCTTTCTGCTTCTATAGCTACTGGCAGCCTTAGCAGCAGCTCTGCTTTCTTTCCTGCTGAAATCCTTATTCTGTCCTGTTAAAGTTGTTTCTGAGACTTTGGCCGTCTGTGCCGTTCTGTTTTCATCTCCTCCTCAGAGGCTGCTGAGGTTCAGCCGGCACCGCTGGCTCGTTCTTCTGAAGGAAACGGAAGTAGGGATGCACGATATTGGGATTTTGGCCGATATGCCAATATTTTAAAACTCGCATAGCCGATAACCGATATCGATGTTAAAGCTGGACATAAATAAGTAGTCATTGAAAATAGCAGTTTTGTTATCCATTTCCGACACTTTGAAAAATAATATACTCAAATATATTTTCATATGCTGATATCAAATTGATTTTTAAAAACGCAGTATCGATCTATTTTACTTTCAGACTCGTGAAATGTCATCGTTCTGTTACAAACTCTCGTGATATTTTGCAAATTCTTGTGAGATTTTGTTAGTAAAATAGATCGATACCGCGTCAATATATCAACATATAAAAATATGGCAACATTTGGTGAATTTTCGGGGGATTTCGTAGCATAACGATGACATATAGCAATATTTCATTAGTAAAAGAGATTGATATGGTGTTTTTAAATGGCAATATATCAGCATATGAAGATATTGGGATATTTTAATGGATCAATATTTTTTCCCTCGTCTTTAGAAGTTTTTAAGTCTGTAAAAAAGAAGTTTTTGAGGAAGAAGTTTTTTTTTTAGACTTTAGAAACTCAGAAGCTGATCAAATATCGGGTTAAATATCGGTCGGGTGGCCGATGTCCGATATTCAGTTTTAAGGCCGATACTGATAGGGGGCCGATTATATCGTGCATCCCTAAACGGAGCGCGAGGTTTTAAAGGAACTCACCGGGTCTGCAGCGCTGGCCGTCGGCAGCCAGCTCCTGGCCTTCAGGACACACACAGCTGTATTTGGGGGAGTGTTTGTTGATCTGCGGAGCAGGGAGACACATGTAGCTGCAGCCTCCGTTCTCCCCTTTCTCTGAGCACCAGTTGGTTCCTGAAAACATGAAGTAGAACAGAATATAGTCATGAGGCAGATTAACAGGCCTCTGAGCCCTCAGCGTTCTGCTCATTGGATGCAGGTGATCAGGAGCTGCAGCCGAAACATGAAACCTTTATCTTCTGTAGCTCAGAGGGAAATCTGTTCATTCTGTTCTGCACCTTAAAAATTTGATTGACAGATGACCGTTTATATATGAATGGACGAATTTAGGTGTTCAGGCTGATTTATAACTAACTGGCCTGCAGAAGATAAAGGAAAAAAACAGATTTTAACAGGATTTTTAGAAATAGAAATTTTGGGACAATATGGTCTGATAAAGAGAACATTTATATGCATGTTTAAGCCAGAATGATTTGACATTTAAATATGACTTCCCTACGACTTTAAAAATGAGTTGCTTCCCAAAATTACTTCAACGGAAGGTTTCTGGCGGAGTCAGGTTAGTCCAACGCCGCCTGCCTTGAATAAACTTGATCAATCTTAACTAAAACAGTTTGGAATTACTTTATTTGGATAAAGGTGCTGATTGTGTGAAACTGCTACCTGTAAACAGTTTTATATTTTCATAGTTTTGAAAAGGATCTTTTTATTTTTAAAGTTTTTCTTTAACATAACCAACTCTCACCAGACAGCTGGATCAGCTCATGGTACACGATGACGTCCTGAGGGTCGTTCAGATTGCTGGCGAGCGTCGTTACGTCAGAACCAGAGAACTTGTTGGCGCCGTAGATCGCTTTGTTTTCACCGTCTGTCCAGAAAACTCGATCCTGCCAAAGGAACCAAACGGGAATTAAACTTCTTTAGCTGATGAACTTTAATTAGATCCTTGAGTTCTGTGAGAAGCCAAAGACCGGTTTCTATCCGGACGGAGCGAGTCCAAAAACTCCAGAGCCGTACCTCAAAGACTGTGAGGGCAAAGGGGTGAGCCAGGTAGTCTGCAGACTGCAGCACCTTGTTCCGGTTGTCCCCGTTCAGGTCTACACTACAGAGCATGTGCAGCTTGGAGTCGACCCAGTACAGCCGGCCTTTGATCAGATCTGGAAGGAGAGGAAAAGCTTTTTATAGCCGCTCCCCCACTGACTACAGATCGGCTGGTTGCTCCATTCCTACCAAGCGTGATCCCGTTCGGCCACTGGATGTCCGTTGCCACCAGAACCTGCCGGTTCACTCCGTTCAGACCGGACTTTTCTATCTTGGCGGGCTCCCCCCAGTCAGACCAGTACATGAACCTGCAGAACCAACAGATAAACGCTCAGATGGCTGATTTAAAGCAGGAGCTCCAGAAGCTGGTTTCCACCCACCCAGACAGAGGATCCACGGCCACTGAAGCGGGTTCTTTGAGGCCGCTGTTGAAGAGAACTTTCCGCTTTGTTCCGTTGAAGTTTGCCACAGAAATGGTTTTGGTGCCCAGATCGGACCAGTACAGGTTCTTATAAATCCAGTCCACAGCGATCCCCAGAGGAGTTTGGACGTTGTCGATCACTTTCCTGTGGATTCCAACATCTCCTCGCTTGTCCAGGACGGTACTGAGGAGAAACAGACCAAACTGAAAACCAAATACAGAAAATTCTGCTCCTAAACAAACTTTTCCTAAAGACAAAAAAAGCCCAGATTTTTGTTTAAGATTCCAGAAATTTCAGGCAAATTTATGGGAATCAAATCAACCTTAATATGTTCACTTTTTAGTTTAGTTTGCATAAGTAATGATATTCAAGTGTCATTTGTGATTCAGTAAAAAGGCCTTTTTTTCATAATTGGTAATACATGCAGAAGACAAAGTAGGCAGGAAGTAGATTTAAGATCCAGGGACTTTCGGCATTAACAACTTTTTCCTTTTTAGATTTCAGCACACAGAGGTCCACACGAATCCTTGCGTGCACATAAGGCCATCATCAGTGTTAGGCACGTACTTTGAAAAAGTAATTCGTTACTTCTCCCAAAAAAAAACTCCGCAATAAAAGTCCCCCGTTACACTAGTAAAAGTAACTATTGCGTTACTTTTGCGTTTCTCGCCCCCTTAACCCTCATCACAAATAATTTTAAAGATATAAAGAAATATTTCTAGAGGTCAAAGGTCAACCTTTGATGGCTTCTACAAACAATTAAAATTATAGCATTACAAAAAATTTATACAATTTAAGATATGCATTTTAAAATTTTTAATATATTTATTTTAAATATTTTATATTTAAAATTTTATATTTTTGTATGGCAAAAATTTTCATTTGTGCTGCTATCATTTCAATGATAATATATTTTAGAGGTCATCAAAGGGCAGTTAGCTACGTTTGTGCAGCAAAAACAGATGTTAAGTCAATTGACACCCATTTCGTCTGATTTGAAGAAGGTGGGGGGCCAACTTCACTCAGGTGCAGTAACGGGGTGTCAGCAATGGTAACTGCGTTATAGTCAAAGTAATTAGATTACGCGTTACTTAAAAAGGTAACGGCGTTACTCCCATCACTGGCCATCATGCACGTATACAACTGTGGCCAAAAACACACTCCAGTTAGATTCCCACATACTGGGTCGTCTAAATACATTCTCATAATGTTAAAGGAAAGTATAAATGAGGCTGAGATGGCGCCTCGAGTTTGGGGAAGATTCTTTGTAAAGATGAGCTCTGGATTTGTGAATTTTTTTGACAGTATATTTGATTGGACTCATTAACCCCCCCCCCGTTCCGGTTTTGGGCGAATGAAGAGAATCGTCTCTAGTCTTTATTTTTGTTCCAAGAATTAAACCATTTTGGGCCTCAACAAGTTCAATAAATGTGTATTAAGCAGTGGGCCGAGGATACAACCCTAAAAACCTTCCTATTCGAGCTGAATAAGGTTTTATGTACCGATAGCAATGTTGAAATCTGATACACAGAATAAAACCACTAAACTTAAAATAATTGGACTTTAAGTGGTAATTGGGAAGATTTAAAGTAGATTTGATTTTGTTTTAACAGTTTAAAGTGATTGGGGGCAAGCTATAGAAGTTTAGGAACCATTGCATTGAATAACCCGCTTAGCATTATTAATTTAATAACATTTTTATGTGTTACCAAGTGTTTGTTTTTGTTTGAACTGAGAAGTTTGTAACATTTATCATTTTATCAGGTAAATTTAGAAAGAAAAATCAGCTCCAAGAATCGTCCCAAAAAGATTAGCAGCGCTCATTGTGGGTCGTATCGACTGCTGCTCAACGAGTTTACAGAGGGTATCAAACAGATGAGGGAACAGAATCTGTGTGGTGTAGATCTAGAGGTTCATTGTACCTGTAAATGGCCTTCTGACCCAGATCAGCCCAGAAAATGGTCTGCTGGTTGAAGTCTGCGTCCAAAGCCGCAGCGTTTCTCTGCTGCTCTACGATCTGAGTGTATTCCTTCCTCTCCAGACCCAGACGACGGATGTCCCGGCGGTTGGTGAAGATCAGACATGGCTCCTTACCTGAGGAAGGAGAAGGGTTCATAAAGGCTCATCTTCGTCCAGAGCAGCAGCGTTCCTTCCTAGATGCTCACCAACGGCCTTGCAGACGCCGGTGGTCGGATCCATCTGGTATCCGTTGTGACATTCACACTTATAGCCTCCCTTCAGGTTGATGCAGATCTGACTGCAGATCCCTGGGTTCATGCACTCATTGACGTCTGCAACATAAATGGGAAAAAACGACTTATTGAGGGGGGAACTGAACGGCAGCAAGAGCAGCACCACAAATATCCCAAATAGCCTCAGGATTTATCTTCCTAAAGTTATTTAACCAGGAATTCAGACAATTTAAATCTGATTGCATCAATTTTTTTATTTTTATTTTACCGATTAAAGTCAAATTCATTAAATCATAATACACATTAGTTTGGGTATAAATGATCCATTGATTATTCCTTGCTGACTGGACTTTTTCTTTAAAATATTGCGCCTAAAAACATTAAAGCTCCGACTTAAATGTTCAGGGTTTTCTACACATTGCGAAGTTTCCGGTACATTTTGAGCTTAATGTTGGGTCATTTTTTAAGCTGAGACTCGATTCTGGTTTGATTTCCAGAGGAGTGAATTAAAACGTTCTCAGAAAACAAGGTAATAATGGAGACAAGCTCTGTCAGAGGAACATGGAAATGATGGTGATCTGTACCGTGTCACATTTGATTATTCCTCATGTGAAAATAGTGAATGAAATAAATCACTTCCTACTTGGACAGAGTCGTCTGTTCAGAGTGTTTGCACAGAGAGGGCGAGCAGGAAGGAGTATAATGAGGCAGAGGAGCAGTGAGGAAGATGGCCCAGTGCAGCAGGGTGTTTGCAGACTGAGTGAGAACGTTTTCTGGAAGCTCAAACACTCGTTGGATGAGACTAGAGTAGAGCTGAGAGTATATTTAATAAAAGCTTTGCAGAAATAAACCTCAGGATATTTTGTTTTAACTTGGCTTTTTCTGGTCGATTTAATTTAAAAGTTCAAACTACGTCTGCAGGTGAATTTTTATTAATTTGGACAATATTTTACTACAAACTTTTTACATTAAAAAAGGGAAAGTTGTATTTAAATATAACTATTCTAGACCAAGCAAGGGCCATGTTACTATTATATGGTTCAAAAAAATTAAACATCGCTCTTATTTTCACATAATGAAGTCCTGTATCCATGGTGATCAATCAAAACAAAGATCTACTGAAAGTCAGCAGCTGACATGGAAGCTCAGTCCATGCAGTTTCCCTTCCTTCTTGTTACCCAGTGTTCATTAGCAGCAGCATCCCACCCAGAACCATATGGGACATTAAGCCAAGATGCATTTTAGTCAATCGAGCTCCTCTGATCATTCCATGAATCCTAACCACCATAAACTGATTAGAAACCAGTTAATCAGATGGGTTCTTATGGTTTCTTTGTTTATTCACAGGCAATTTATGTTGGAGCCTTTCTACCTTGGAGAAAAAAAGGGAATATTTTGTGGGGAAGAGGTTTGTGTTAATTCTTTCATGGCTACAGTTTTTTTTCAAATACAAGAAATGTGAAGCCTAATTTTTTTGTTGTTGGGTCCTTTTGAAAGAAAATTGTTGATCATTGTTTGTAAGGGTCTACCCACAGAAGTGTACGGTCCTCGAGTGACTGGTAAAAAAAAAAAAAAGGGATATCTGACTGGCAGCCCCCAAAAATAGTGAAAAACACCCACTTAAACTAAAATAAATATTGTAAAACCGTCACAAAGTAGTTCAAATTTGACTAATGAAAGAGTGAAGGACTAAAGCTTGATATTATCCTAATGTTTATTTACTGAATCAAAAAGAGAGGAACCTTAGATCAAGCAAAACAAAATGGAAATTGTTAAAAAGTCGATAAAAAAAAACTTTAATAAATTTGTGATTTGATGGAAAAATTGGATTAATCTTCTAATCCCTCATTAATCAGAAGCAGTTTGATATTTTTCCAACCATAGAGATCGACTCTTTTTACTTCAGTCAACTTATCGATGCATCAGAATCAATAAAACTGCTCCTGCAGGGCGATCACACGCTCCGCTGCAACAGTTAGAGGCTCCTGCATCATTAAAACAAGCCTTCCTTTAACTAGAGATAAAAAAATCTGGGCTGCCGCCATCTTCCTGTTTCCATCCCTGTTAGAAGTTTATTCAGACAAACATGTCGATTTAAACTGAACCGCTTCTTTCTGACCTCATTTCCTTCCTGAAGGTCAAATCAACCAAATCCGACATTAATCCCACTTGATAAACCCAGACGGGTCGGGTCGCTGGTACCCATGTAAAAGGAGGAACCTGAAAGGACTCTACCTCCGCAGGTCTTGTGGTCGATGAGCTGGAGTCCAGGCGTGCAGTCGCATTCGAAGCCGATCACCATGTCTTTGCAGATGTGAGAGCAGCCGCCGTTGTTCAGGAGACACTCGTTGACATCTGCAGAGCAGCAAACATCATGGATGATTGTAGGAGGCATCAAAACGCTCAGAGGAACATGAAGCTGCTCTGCAAGCTGAGCTCAGGTTCAATCTGCTCCTCCTACCGAGGAAAGCTGATCCCAACATGGATCTTTTTCTAAACACATTGCCTCCTCTCTAACTGCTCCACTAAAATGTTAGTGTTCAGCCAGCTGATGGGCAGTGTGTAGCAACATGTTGGTGAAGCTAGCAGTGGATTACTCTGTAGAAACTGATCTTTAAACTTTGATCAGTTAAACCAGTTTAAGTTGCTTTAATCCTCCATTAAAGAAAGGAACCATAAGATCAGCAAACATGGAGGCTGATGTTTAAAATGGTTTTACTTTAGAAAAATGGGGATTATTTTCTGGGTAATTTAATCAGATCATCACTAAAACTATAAAGAGTTTTGCCCTCCGTTATAAAACAAAACTAAATAAGTAAAAGATTGTATTAAAAACTAGAGACGACATCTGTGCGAGGGATTAGTCAATGAGTCGATGCAATCAACTGGTTTTCCTTAGAAAACTTTGAATCAAATAACTGGATCAGGAGCGATCACGTCCCGTCCTCAGGAGCTACTATCCTGCAACTTTTTGATGCAACCATTTTTAACACACCTGAATTAAATGAGTGACCGGCAGTGTTGGGCACGTTACTTTGAAAAAGTAATTAGTTATAGTTACTAGTTACTTCTCCCAAAAAGTAACTGAGTTACTAACTGAGTTACTCCACAATAAAAGTAACTAGTTACTAGTAAAAGTAACTATTGCGTTACTTTTGCGTTTCTCGCCCCCGTAAACCTCACCACCCAGCCCCCACCTTCTCACCGTGTGTTTCCAAAGCCAGCTGAATAGAGCGGACGACAAAGACAAGAACCTGCAGACAGTTTAGCATTTATTGCAACTCAACGTAAATGACATCAGGGGGGAACGCGATGTGAAGTTTTATAACAGGACATTCAGATCCGGTGAGTATATGAAATTAATAACTGGGGATGTCTAATTCTGAAATCCTGTGTGTTTGGGTTGTTATAGATACTGCAACATCTATCTATCCATCTATCTATCTAGATGTATACTCTGTGTGTGACATAAAATATGGATCTCCATCCCTGCCACAAAGGCCATCAAATAATGTTTAAAATAAAAAATACAGTAGGTTGAGAAGGCAGAGTATCCATCCATCCATCCATCCATCTTTCTCCCTTTCTCCATATAGGCTATCATTTCTGGCTGTTGTCAGGTTCATTTGATCGTTCCCGCTCTCCACAGTTCTCCTGTGGCGCGAGCACAGAGCGACTGTTGCGCGCCTTTAGCGAGCATGCGCGTTTCATGTCGCTTGCGCGGTGACTCTTGCCGCCTGCGCTGTGTGGAGATGCAGAGGAAACCGTTATGTGATGGGGAAACGCAGCTCTACGTAACACCGGTATTTCCATGTGGAAAACGCTGTTTTGCTGCTGGAGTCATCATCACTCTCCATCTCTCTGTGTGTGCTGTACGTTAACACCCACCAGCAGAAACACCAACCTATTCAACTGACAGACGGAATCTCATCCTCCCCTCTCTCATGACAAGGCGCGCACCTCTGGATGACCTAAAATAAATCTTTAATATCTCTTAAACAAAAGTAGCACAAACAATATTTTTTTCTGCACAAATCTGCACTAACGTTGCACTAACCATTCAGTCTATTTGCAGAGTTTTTTGACGTGGGTGGGGTGTCAGCTTCACGCAGCTGCGCACGAGTCCTATCATGAAAAAAGGTTCATTGTGCGACCTGAGTAACGCGCAGTAACGGGGTGTCTGCAATGGTAACTGCGTTATAGTTACAGTCAAAGTAATTAGTTAGATTACTCGTTACTAAAACAAGGTAACGGCGTTAGTAACGCCGTTAGTTTCAACGCCGTTAGTCCCATCACTGGTGACCGGTTACCATCCCTCTGCTGAGCTAAATGAGGGGACCGAGGCTTTAGGTTCTAAAGAAGAGATGCATTTAAAAGTTACAGGATGGAAGCTCTTCAGGATCAGGTGATCTGTAAAGTGCCCTGAGATTAAATGTGTTGTGAACTGGCGCCATAGATATTTAACTGAATTTAATCTTTAGGACGACACAGTGCTGCTGTTGGAAAATAATCCTAAACTCTGATAATCAATTCTTATAATTTAAAAGTTTTCCTACTGTAAAATTTTTAAATAAAGGAAGCCCAGAGGCTAAGCTAGCAACTACTGCTAGTTTAAGTTAGATTTTTCAGCGATTATAATCAGATAAAATAAAGAATAAAACCTCAAATAGTTTTAACCTCTAGAACCCTACGGACCCACCGGTGGGTCCAGCTGCTACATGACCTCGTAATTTTAACAAACCCCCAGTATTGATGTAAAAAACATATTTGGCACAGTTTGGTGACATTTTTGGATAAATGTGCCAAAATGGCCTCTCCGCCTAAGAAATTTCTCACTAATACCATTCTAAAATAAATATGATTCATCTGATTGAGTCCAAATTTGGTATATTTTTACACAACATTTAGATTTAAAAGTCTGTACTACTTTTTTGTGCTATAAATAATATTTTGGTAGTGTTTTGCAATGTTTATTTCAAAGAAAATTTTGGCGAGGTTCAAAAAATGCAAAATATTTTGTATTTTGTCCCTAATATTTCAGGCAGGGTCAAAGCTACAATGGTGCTGACACCAGAAAACCATTCTATGGCATCTTACCTTTACAGACGTACCAAAAGTTTCTTCTTAAATCTAATAGCTGTGAGGCTATAAGTGATTTACTTTTGTGTGTTTTTGTCAGGCAGAAATTTATTTATACCTCCTGAGGGTGTAAGAGGTTAAATACATAATCAGTCATAATCTAAACGGAACATCTATGTCGTTTAACTGGTGGAAGTCGTTTCTTAATTTAATCCCTCCTGAATCTAAACATCAGATTCTGATCACTAAAGTCAAATTTTTGCATCTGTAGTTGTGACAAAATGAAAACTTTTATTTAGATCCAGTGCTTCTAAACTGTTGGAATAATTGTATATAAATGTATCTGTGTATCTTGGGACTGCAGAGTGAGGTGGAGATTGTAAGCTCCGCAGTCTCTTCCTACTCTCCTTGTGAGTAAACTAAGTTAATTGTCTCTGTGCCTACTTTCTTTCTCTGCATGTATGTAGGATGTTTTAGGTGCTTAGACCTGAGATAAACGTTCTCCATCTTTGTAAACACTCACTGCACTCCTTGATGGGCTCGTCGCTCCAGTCCGGACAGTCCCTGTTCTTGTTGCACACCTTGCTCATCTCGATGCACTCCCCGCTGCGACACTTGAACTTCTCCGGGCCGTTGCACTGAGTCACTGCAGAAATTATACAGATGGAAACTCTGCAACCAAACGCCTTCAAACACAGCAGAACAATGAAGCAAAGCTGAAGGTGAGAGCGACCGTTTTCCTCCACTGATGCAAAACCTGCTGTGTAAAGTTCCTTGTAACCCACTGTGTGTAAGAAGAAATATTCAGCATTTCTTCTGGTTGATTCTGGAAGGTTGGTCTTGTTAATGGCGACCATCTCTGCTCTGATTACCGAGCCAACATGCTGATCCACCGCGTGAAACAACGCAGGAATATTTAAGATGCAACAAATCAGAAAAAAAAAAACTTTTATTTTCTGTTGAAACCAATCTGTTCCTGTTTGGCTGTGACTCCATCCTGGAGAGAAATATCAGCTGCGCTGCTGCCATCAACACCTTTGTTTCTAGATGTTGGAGCTTTGCCTGTTTTCCAGTGTAGTCCTGTTTCTCTGACTGCGACTCTGACTCTTTAACAGTTGCCTTTTGTATCTATGCTTCTTTTTCCATGTCTGCTTCTGTCTCCTTGAACCCCAGTGGGCCTCAGCAGATGGCCGCTCACACTGAACAGGAAGAAACCTCCAGCAGAACCAGGCTCAAAGGGAGTTTTTCCTCTCCACTGTCGCTACAAGCATGCTTAGTGTGAGGGATTGCTGAAGAGTCAATGAGTCGATGCAATCAGCTGGTTTTCCTTAGATAGAAAACTTTGAATCAATCTGACTGGATGATCTGGTGAACTGGAAAGTGACCTGAGATGACATGATGTGAATTGGAGCTATAGAAATAAACTGAATTGAAGAATCTAAACCAACCTGAACCTAAATGCTCTGTTTTTACATGATTAACACAGAGGTCCATCTCACTAGGGCTGCAACTAATGATTATTTTACAAATCGATTATTTTTTTAGATTAATTAATAATCTGATAGCCAAAGGTTCCATAAAGTAGATTTTTTACGAAAGTCTTAGTGAAGCAGCTGTTCCAATCGTTGCATTTCCAAATTCTCCCGAGTGGTGCCCGACTTTACACGAGTGAATTAAGTGAATGTGATTTGTTGTTTATTAAGGGGGCGGAAGGTTTGCAAGCAAGTTTGGTTGTGGCCGGTTTGTGGGAAGCATCTTGCTAACCAGTTAGCATCTTAGTGCTAGCAGGTTCCCAATGGGAAATTCCATTGGGACCAAGTAGCACTAAATTGAAACGACGCTGTCAAGGAACGCTATGGACAGCGGAAACATGCAAGAGGAGGAGAGTTTAGTGTCGGAGGTCGTGGATGAGTCTCCTCCGTCATCCATTTTTTATTTAGAGGAGGAAAGCGGGGACGAAGATGTTGTGGAAGAGGACGCCAGGGCGGCAGAAGCTTGGTTTGGTGTAGAAGGCTTCCAGCCGTACATGTTTGAGCCCTTGCCTCGCAACGCTGCCAGTTCTGTTAGCTCTACGCCTGCCGAAGACACAGACGTCCATCCCCGTGGACACTGGGACGCAACTCAATGGGAAAGGAAAGGATTCTGGTTTCAACCGTTGCGTATATTAGCTGCGACACATGAATCAAGATGCTATGACCGAAAACATTTGATTGACAGATGACCGCTGATATATGATTGGCTGAATTTAGGTGTTCAGGCTGACGTAGAACTAACTGGCTTTGCAAAAAAAAAAAAAAAAAGTTATGTATTGTCATTGACATTTTAAATAAGATTTCCCTAGGACTTTAAACTAGGTCAAACTAAAACCTTTCCACTCGAGTTCTGGATAGAACATAATGACAAAGCAGGAATTATACCAAAATATAAACATTTTGCATTTAAAATAAAGTATTTTTGTCTAAGTGGGTCCCTCTGTCAGCTACAGAAACATTTTAGAGTCTCTATACTCCAGTTAACCAATCACCAAATTTGATTATTTCAGTAATAGATTAATCTGATAAATCTTTTTCAGCTGTAAAGCTCACATTTAGCAAGAAAACAATCTTTTTGACCCGATAAAACCAAACTAGGATCTTTGGTTGGAGTGACTTTATTAGATCTGGAGTTAAACCATCGCCTAAAACCTGGGCAGAGAGAAGAGACGAGTTCTAAACCCAAACTGGAATAGCAGGATGTACGGAAAGCCACAAGGGCCACAACTTCAACAGATAGACTGGTTAAAATGAACCTGGTCTAAAACACATTTAGTTTTCGTTTCCTGCTCACAGTTTTTGCAGCTGGCTTCATCCGACGCGTCGGCGCAGTCTCTGATGCCGTTACACTGCCGGCTTCCCAGGATGCAGCTTCCATCGTCACACCTGAACTGATCCGGCCCACAGCTGCGCACGGCTGCAACGGAGGCAAACGCAGGTTAGCTTAATGCTGAAAACTTTCCCACCCCGCAGAGGCGTCCGACGCCGCCTTCAGGCGTGGAAACGTACGGCAGTTGGACTCGTCGCTGCCGTCCTTGCAGTCGGGGTCGCCGTCACATCTCCACTTTTTGTGGATGCATTCTCCTGAGCCGCACTGCATTTCGCTGGGCGAGCACTTAGCCGGCGGCGTCGGGTGGCGCCCGCAGCGCGTCGGGTCCTCATCAGACTGGTCCTGGAAGAGAAGGGCGTCAACTTTGAGCATCAGTTCCACCAACATCAGCAGCCTTTTGGGTTTAAAGCACCTACAGGATCCAATCAGAACCCGATCAAACTCGAGGTAAAGATGTGATTAATGACGGTTTACTGGAGCTCATTTTCCTGATCCGCTGCAAAGTTCTACAGACGGGATAAATACCGACATTTCAATATATTGATATACTCCATGTATCTTGAGTTGCCAGCGATTTTGCTGGATTTTTCGTACATCAGGCAAACGCTGGTCTAAATCATCAGGGTATGACAGCGGCTTATGTGAAGCGTTTCCAGGGAGACTGAGCATAAACCCCGCCCCCTCCATCCTTTAAAAACAACAGAAACGATGAGCGGCGGCTGTTCCTACCTGGCAGTCCACGTCATCGTCGCACACCCAGCTGGACGGGATGCAGGTCGAGTTCCCGCACTGGAACTCGCTGGGAGCGCAGGAGGACGGAGCGCACTCCACCTCATCGGAGCCATCACCGCAGTCGTCCTCGCTGTTGCACACGAAGTTCCTGGAGATGCAGCGGCCGCTCTCACAGGTGAACTCGTTGGGAGCGCAGGTGACGTTACCTGCAATAGTTGAAGGGACGCTGAACCAAAGCAGGTTTCATAGAGACCGCTTCCCTCAGACCATCAAGGATACGCTGAGGTTCAACCATTAACGCCGTACTCTGACTGGGAAAGAAAAGAGGCGCCTTGATCGATGTCTCTTCTATTCGACACCAGGACTCCAAGAATACTGATCCTAATAGAACTCCCACTGAACGTCAGTTTGATGGGTGACATTTCCCCCCCCAATGGTACAAATGACAGGTGATGAAGTCATCAACTGAAATTATTCTAGTGTGCGACAAACTCATTGTGGATATAAAGACCTTTAAACAGGTCTAATATGTAAATTTAAAGGCTGTATTAAAAATAAATCGAGTCATAAGACCGTTTAACTACACAGCTTTGAAGTTCGAAATTACTACTTTATTTACCCCAGAACATTTCCTGCACACTTTTTCCACATTTATGGCAAACATCTGAGCGTTTAGTGCAGCACTGAAGCTCCTGGCGCCGTTTGTTCGCGTTGCCAAAGCTGCTCTACTGCGGCCTAGAGGCTGGTGGTCGCCACGCAACCATTTTAACAGTTCAAGGATAAAATCTCTGCGTTTGACGGTGGCGTTCAAACAGCTCCTGAACAAAACCAAGGCGTTTATAGCTACCATGTCCAGGAAATCACCTTCACTTTTACAGAATCCTTTCTAATCATCGGATCCGACACATCCAGGCAGACCTGTGTGTGATTATAGTAGCCCAGAGAATCTGGTTTGGCTTTGGTCCTCTGAGCGAAACGCCTGAGGTGTGGGCAGTGCTTGAACAAAAGTTTCACTATTGTCTGGTGGGTCACCGATACGTTTGCGTTTTCCTGGGGGTTGGTGATCATCCTCTGACTCGCTGTCATAATATAAGCTGCTTCCAATCCTGTCCTCACTGGTCTCTCCCCTTCCACCTGAATCGCCATTAAAATTTGGAAGCATTTCTAAAGCCTGTTTGGCAAATAGATGTCTTCTATAGGGTTGTCAGAAGTATCGATACTCAAAAAAGTATCAATACTGAAACTTATCCGGATACAATACTAATTTTCAAAAGTATCGATACAGCCAACTAAAGTGCAGAATAGTGGAAAATGCACTTTCTAAACACTGATTGAAAAATGCACAGAATTATTCAGTTTCAGACTTTTTTGTAACAGAGAATGAGAATAATTTTTGTTTAACCGGTTTGGCTAGTGTCATTGTTATGTCATAGCCAAGGAGGGAACTCTTAATTTTAATTTTGTTTAATTGTAAAGTTTTTTATCAAGCTTGCTTAATATTGCGCACAGCATACAACCTCAAAATATTATTCTTGTTTTTTGTCATTTCTTTCTTGTATTTTTTTAGTAATGAAAATATTTGTTGAATTTTAGAGACTTTTTTTTATTCTTGTGGTATTGAGTATCGAATATTTTACTTAGTATCTGTATTGAGTTGAAAAGTTTACTATCGTGACAACCCCAGTCTTCTGAAAGCCGTTTTTCCACATACACCAAAGAGGTCTAGGTAGAATGTTGGTTGCTAGGCAACAGTACGAACGTCAACCAACCGCAGGAAGAATTTACAATACAACTTATTGAGCCGCCAAAATGACGACAGTGGGAGATGGAGGTAAAATTAACATTTATGTTTAAAAAAAAATATATAAATATATTTCCTTTATTTTTATCTTAAAAAATGAAGGAAATATAGAAACAGGAAAAGTCAGTTAACATGAGTTACATACGATTAATGTAAATAAAGTTTTTTTTCCCTTTAAAGTCTCAGAACAGTCAAAACGACGTCAAAACAAATTAATGAGGCAGAAAAGCAAACTGTGCTGCGACTACTGGTGGAGTTTAAGACCCAGCGGCCAACATTCTGCAGCCATCACCATCCTGTAACCAATGGCACTGAAGGCGGAGCGGCCGAATACACATCTGGAGATTTTCTTTATGTGTTTAATTGATAGAGGGACTGTAGCCCCGCCCCCAATTACCTCCATATTCTGCAAAACCCGTTTAAAAAGATAAATAAAACTAAAACTCCTTAAATTACTTCTGCCTTTAATTTAAAGAGATGAATAAGATCGACCAACAGATCCTAACAGAATTGATTTTATCATTTTAACAGCAAATCTCATCCGTTTAAGATGGGGAAAATAAGCTTCCAGCAAAAACTAAATGAGTCCATGAGGAATTTGTTCCTCATGGTTGGACTTCGGATGGAGGGGAAATGTTTCGACTCTCAGATTGGTTCACATTATGATGCCAAAATGGCAGCTTTCAGATTCTCCACTCAACGCTGCAGGACTTTGACCTGAAGAGGGAAACATCTGATTCTAAAGGCTGTGGAGGAGGGACGCCGCTTCCACCTACCGCAGTTGACCTCATCCTCTCCTTTGTCGCAGTCCTTCTCTCCGTCGCATTTCCAGAAGACGGGGATGCACTGCGTGGTGCCCGGCCCGCAGCTGAACTCGTTCACACGGCACGTCCGCATGTCTGCAGAGAAACGGCAGCAAAGCGAATTTAACGGGAGGCCAGAGGCGCCGTGCAGCCGCTGACATTCAAAACATTATACCAAACCCAACTCTATGGAGCTTCTTTGGGACCATAATGATTATTCAAAACATATTTTCTGAGAAAAATCTATCAGAAACTAGAAATTTCTACCAAATATTGTTGATATTTTTTATATGATTCGTTTTTTCTTCACTGATCGAGTCGTTTCCCAGTCAGTCTGTTGGTTCTTCTGCTTATTCCAGGAACCTTTTTGCGGTCGTTCCCAACATGGACTTTATTGTGAAGAGTTTGTTGTTTCCAATTAACCCACGGGCACAAAATGGCGCCGCAAAGCACAACAGTTAAGACAGACGGTGATAATTTAAAGGAAAAGTTGGGCCATATTTAAAATCTAAACTTCTGAAAGTTCTTTAAATCTGAAATGATTCCATCCTGTTCAGTGTTTTTATTTCAGAGTAATTTTCATGTGAATGTGCTTTACTGGAGGCATCCATGTTTGTCAAAGAACACTGCCACCTACTGGTTAGTGACGTCACTGTGCGGTATCGGCTGTTGATCAAGTCCCAGTGCTGTATCTGGTGTTTGTCACAACGCGCTATTATCCAAGTCATCTTGAAAACATTCTTCCAAATGTTGGCTACATATTACGGGTTTTTTTTCTCTGGCCAGAAGTTCGATGGCAAATCCTCCCTCTTCAACTTGGCCATTTCTTTGGTTACCCTGCGATGCCCTACACCTGTCTAAGTCCCTATAACCGTCTAAAACAAGGCTTTGTTGGGCTACTGTAAAAACATCGAACTCAACGCTATTTCAACGACATTTGGAATTGAAAAAGCTTCCTGGATGGAAGAGAAACGTCTTCAAACTTGGAAAGTAAGTCCAGTGGATTGATTTAAACTTTTTTGAAATGTCTATGACCTGGATGACTGCATATTAGTCATTAATCTAATATGCTGGATCATCATATTAGTCACTCTACAAGCTTCCCTCTCTGCTACCGAGTTGTAGGCGACAGCTGGTGAACAGCAGCTCTGGTAGCTGACAGACCGGCACGTACCGGACCTTTTGATGACCGAGTCGACAGGAACATAAACAGCTGCAGCATTAAAGCTCAACATGTCTGGGTGGGAAACCAGTCCTCTGCTGCTCAGAGGTCCACCTTGAATCCAAATGTTCAGGTTCAAAATCAGTCAAATAAATCAATTAAAGAGAAACTACCATTCATTTCCAACATAAAACCTCCAGATCTGGACAAGCGGTGATTGGGAAGAACTTACGGCAGATTTCTACGCTTTCATCAGAACCGTCCTCGCAGTCTGGCTCGCCGTCACAGTGCCATCGCTTCGGGACACACTGACCGCTGCGGCACACAAAGTCCACCTCAGCACACGTCTTTTTTACTGAAAGACAGAACATGGAGTCAGTTTGAACAGTTAAAGACATAGAAACAAAAAAGGAAAGTCTTCAGAGAGCAGCCAGATTCTGGGGACATTTAAACCAAATCTCTCCTTAACCAGAAGCAGCCTTTAGTTCATATAAAGGCTGATATTTATTCAGCTCATGAAGGAACAGTGAACTCATTCTCTGAGTCCCCCCCCCCTTCAGTTCTATCAGATGACCCAGATAGACGAACACGTCCGAATCTGCTGCCTTTCATCCATATTTAGCTGCACTCTGTGAGCCACCTTCTACCAGGTAAGTGTCTAAATCAGGGGAAACCAATTAACAATCAGCGGCGTCCGAATAAAGAAATTAACCAGTAAAGGTCCAGAGACGTTTCTAATTTTAATCTGTTAAATTAAACAGAACCTAAAACTGAAATAAAATGAGGCGTCTATGCCTCCATGTTATATATTGAATTTTTAAATTAAAATATGGAACCTTTTTCCATTTTAAAATCCAAATACTTTTTGAACAATTGTTCAGTTTGGTATAAAGACTATTTACTGATTGACTTTCTTTATACAAAACCTGAAATAACCTCTTTTTTTTCCTGTCTTAATGGGAGCAGTGGGCTTTAGGCTGCCCCCACTGGAAAAAATGGAAATCTAGATAAGTCATTTTTTCTTAAAATAAGTGCATTTGTTCTTGAATTGAGAAGATTAAAGAGACATTTTCCCAATGGAACAAGACAATTTACATTTAAAATAAGAAAACACAATTGCATCGTCTTATTTCAAGTGCATTTTATCTAATTACCTTATTTTAGAGTAAAAATACTGATTCCATTGGCAAATTATCTCGTTTACCTACTCAAATTAAGATTAAATACACTTGATTTAAGAAATATTTACTAATTACTAGATCGTTTTTTCCAGTGGCAAGGCTTTAAACCTGGGTTTGAATGGAGACTAAGCCATTCTCAAGACATATCAAGGTGCTCATTTTCAGCCTGGATCCAGATTTATTTTTGATTCTGTTCATGGCATCACGTGCAGCATGGTGCAGGACGCTCCGGAGAGCTTTACAGTAAAAACTGGAGAAGCGGAGCAAGTGAAATTAGACACTGTCAGACAACATGCATTAATTTATAAAGGTTTTAAATCTGCTCATCCATGAATGAAAAACGTCTCATTTCTACATCTGATGAAATACTTGCAAAAAATCCGACCCTTTCATCCAGAACAGAACCAGCCGTTAACAGATTAGCTGTAACTTATTAATGCGGCCATCAGTCTGGGAGCCGCGTGAAATAAATATGCAGCTCATTTTCAGAACTTCATGCATCTTTCATCTGCAAACACTCACTAGAAAAAAACCAGAGGACAGACCAGTCTGAGGACTGTAGATCTAGTCAAAGCAGACTGTGTCCACACAGAAGGCCCCTGCAAGCTTAATTCAGACTGCAGTGATTTCCTCCAGCCCTGCAGGAAGTTCAATCTTTTCGTTAGGAAACCCAGGAAGCTCTAGAGTGGCTCCTAACCAGTGGAACCATAAAGGTTCTTTAAAGCTCCACCGTTTACTGATAACAGGATGAATTTGGAAAACAGTCATGATTAAAGCAAAGCTGATAAATGGAAGCATCTAAACTCAGAAAAGCAAAAATAAAATTCATTTAAAAACAGACAAACTGGTTCATCGATTCGGTTCTTTGTGATTGCGGGCAAACTCTTAGAAGTCAGCCCTAAGCAATATGGCTGATTCTGTATCCAAGTCTATAAAAGGAAAGTTGAGTGGAAGGAAAAAGTCCAGAACAGGTTTAGCCACATCAGGAGAAAATACGAGTTCCAGCGCTGCATCAATAACTGTTTTCGTCATCGATGAGGTTGACAAACTTATTTTTAATTATACTTTTGTCCAACTTCTAAGATTTTATTTCTTTAAAGCTCACAAGAGGTGATAAACGTTCTTTAGTTTCTACCAAAAGGAATCCCCAAATTATATCCAAAGCAGACATTTTATTGCATTCTGTTTATTTTCAGATAAAGATCCAGATGAAAAGGTACATAGATCTTAGAAACGAGAACAATCGGAGAGAAATATTCAATCCATTTAAATATAATGTAAATATTTTGTTCTATTGTCATTAAAACATTTTCTGTTTCCTTTAAATATTTCAACATTTTAGTTAACATTTATTTTAGGTCTGGGTTGCCATGGCATTACAAAGCAATTATGGAGGTTCTCTGTATTTATATCAAACCCTGTGAATTTAAATCTACTTTTACCCCTGAGTAGCAGGAACCGGGGGGGAAATTCTCAGAAATAATAAAGCCAACATAGTAATGCAGGTTTAATTGATGTGTGTAACGCATTATTGATAGCAGATCAGGAAGTGGGAACATTTTTATAATTGTTAAGTAGGGCATTAATTCATAAAAATTAATTAATTTGAATTCTAATAAATCAAAGTTTTCTGCCGAACAGCAATGATGACGATGCAAGGCAGCATTCTATATCCAGCTATTGTAACATCTAGGATAGAGCCGTCAGTCTGGGAAATAATGTGGACGTTACTCCAAATTGTAAAGGTAAATTTTATTTTGCAACATAAAACTGACTAAAATCTTTTAAGTTTTAGTCGACTAAATCTATCCCATATCATAATGACTAAAATGGAACTAAAGCTGATGGTTTTCGTCCTGAAGACGGAGACTAAATCCAAGATGGCTGTCAAAAACAACCCTGATCAGTAACGGCATCAGGAGAGTCTGAACAAGGAGAAACTAGACGGGGCTGCTGTTCATGGGCCCAGAACCACAGATTAGTTTGATTTTTAACGGCTCATTTCCACAGCGGTGATCCACTGAGCTTCCATTTAAAGGTTTTATAGATCTGCAGATCTACAAGTCTGTCAACACTTAGTAAACTGCAGCACAGAGGTTAAATAATCATCCAGATTAGCGATGTGTTCAGCAGAAAGGCCGACTGGTGGGTTAGAGCAGGCATCCCCAAACTCTGTCCTCCAGGTTTTAGAGCTGATTATGATGATTGCAGTAGACCAAAAGCCTGTTAATCAGCTTTCAATTAAAATCAGCTTTGCTGGAGCAAGGAAACCTCTAAAACCTGCAGGACAGCGGGACTCGAGGACCGAGGTTGGGGATGCCTGGGTTAGAGGAGAACTTTACTGCAGAAGGAGCTGAAAACGGGAACCTCAGACCCCACCGTCGCTCTGCTCCCTTCCTGCACAGCGGTTATGTTTGAGGGAAGCGGAGATTATTTTTCCTCACCACATGAGCCCTCATCGCTGCCATCTGCGCAGTCTTCGTCTCCGTCACACTGCCACACCGACGGGATGCAGCGACCGTTTCCACACTGGAACTGATTGGCTTCACACTCCGTCTTCGTAGCTGCAGAAACAGAAGCAAAGTCAGCGTGAGGATCTGAAGCTCCTCTAAAGCCAGACTGCTAAAATGCTTCACAGGCCGGAAAAATATAAATAATAAAGCGACTGATTTAAGCAGAGCTGCAGTCGAGCTGCTGAAGTTTTAAGCCCAGCATGAAGATGAGTGCAGTAATCTAAACCAAAACTTTAAACCATCAGTTGCATCATTTCGAGATTTAAAGTAGGATCCCCGTCCAGTGTTCGAGTCTGTAGTGATCAGCCATGGTTCCTTTAATCCTAGTCCACATGGTCCTTCATTAACCAAGACTAAATGATGGTAACCATTTAAACCAGGTGGCCTTTTATCCCATTATGAATGGAAAACCAACCGGTTAGTTAGAATGAATCAAATTATCCATGCTATCCCCTGACATTTAGTCCCAAACAATTTCAAAACCACCATTTGCAACAACAAAAAAACACGTCGAGCTCTTAAGAGTGAAGAGGACATTTACGGTGGAAACTGATTAGCAGACTGGATCTGACCCACCTGCTGGTGGGTCAGATCGGTTGTAGAGAGCCTTCCTTTGAAACACAAAGATGCAGACATTCGCTTTTCCCTCCATAGTCCAGAAACTACCTAATTGAAATTTAAATACACAAAAAATGGCCAAAAAAAATAAAACAGGACTTAGTGACAGATCATTGCTGCATCACTGCTGAGAGATTCAGGTTATAACAAAGATCAATCAATCAGCACTGAGCCACATCTGGAGTGTTCTAACATCTTGTTTGTAATGGTTGTGGTCCTGTGGGCTTTGGGAGACAGTTGTATAAATGAAGATCTGTGTACATTAGGGGTGGAACGATTCACAAAATCAACGGTTTGGTTCGATTCATGGTTTCTGGTCACGGTTTTCGGTTCGATTCGATACATGTTGATTGTTACACCGAAATTCCATAAAAAATTATGAAATTAATGAAAAAAATCCCCCCAAAAAGAATGGATTGTAATTATTTTAAATGATCCGCTGAAACCCTGGATCATTTCCGTATGTTTTGCTGCTTTGAATTTAATCATCTGGCGCATGCTCTCTAACCTGACAACAGCCAGATGCATGTCTCGCTCATGTCTCGTTCCGCCACATGCATCTGGCTGTTGTCAGGTTACATGCCCTCTACCATCTCCAAGGAACTCAGAGCGGAGCGGACGAAGCCACAGTGGAGGCTGTAGGCTTTGCTTTGAGCAGCCGGTCTGGAGCGCAGCGGGGCGGAGCGCTGACGGAGTATGAGGGATTTCGGGGTTAGCATGACATGTTGCTGTTAGCATAAACAAAACGTGTTGCACAATGCTTGCACACTGTTGCACTTTTATCCACAGCTTTCTTCCCGCCGTCATCGTAGGTCACTCTAAATGCAAAGTGGTCCCATACAGCAGACCTATAAAGTGCTGCTGGCGCGTCTTCCAACTCCTGTTCTTTCCCACTCGCCATACCCACACAATTCTCCACAACAACTGATTTTTTCCCTGCTACACCCGGCTAAGCTGCTTCGCTTCTTCTTCTTGTTTACTACTGGCGGTTGGCTTTGGTCGCAGTACTGCCACCTTCTGCTCTGGAGTGTAAACGCTTCCTCTATGAGAAAAAGGAGCAGCGCATGAACCGAACGAAACACACGCGAACCGAACCGAACGGTTCGGACGGTTTTCATAAATCGTCCCATCCCTAGTGTACATGTATGTTTATATCTACAGAAATGTGCTCATTTATTGGCCTGTTGAACCAAATTAAATAGGAATCAGCAAGATTGTTCCAAAAAATTTAAGATCTACTGGACTTTTTAAGACGTTTCTCTTCCCATCCAGGAAGCTTTTTCAATTAAAAATGTCAAATCGTGTTTAGTGTGACGCTCTTATATTGTATACATAGTACAGACTATTGTATAAAGTCTGGAACTCAACGCTATTCCTGACAATAATATAGAGAAATTTAATGACTGGATTATTTTGTCTAAAAAAATAAAAATCACCCAGCCTCACTGGAGACTTTAATACAATAGATCAGTGTTTTTCAATCCTGGTCCTCAAGGCACCCTGCCCTGCATGTTTTGGATGTTTCCCAGCTTTCACACACCGGTTATCAATTGATAGATTATCAGGCTTTGCTGAACTGCAATCATCTGAATCGGGTTTGCTGAAGCTCAGAAACATCCAAAACATGCAGAACAGGGTGCCTTGAGGACCAGGATTGAAAAACACTGCAATAGATGACATTTTCTTTTGAAAGAAAAAGACCTAATAACTACAGATTACCAAAGTTTATCTAAATGGGGGGGGGGGGGGGGGGGGGGTGGAAACCAGCTGAATTGAATATTTCCTCTAGTTGGAAGAGCCAGTTGTTAAATACCTGGTGTAGTTTTTTAGTAGATAAACAACTGTAAAGTCTGACGACCTGAATGTGCAGCTGAGTTTCCCCTCCTGCTCCCACAGCAGTCAGATTGCTTTCCAGACTGAAGGTCATTCCTGTGGCACAGTTTGCTGCAGCTGACATGGGAACGACTCATGATCCCAAAATAACTCCTGACCTTGAGACCCGCTTCATCCTGAAGGCGTCCAGGTGGCTCAATGGAGCCCTAGAAGGTTTCTCTGCATCGCTCAGAGGTCGACTGCTAAAGCTTTGAAATGTTTCAACTAAATATTTCACCCCAAGTAATGTTAGCAGAGGAGGAACCTGGAATATCTGCCACAGAAATGCAGCCATAATGGAAAACCTTTCAAAGTGGGTCAGCGGCTCCTTTGGAGAGAATCGGACTAAAGAGGTGGGATTTTTACTGAAGCAGAAGCTTTAGCCGTTAGCAGAAGCCAAATGATTAACACGCAGAGTAAATGACTGACATGAATGCTCTGAAACACATCCAGGTTTATCCAATCAGATTTATGCAAATTGCAGAAAGGCAAACCTCAACCATGACGCTAATGAACTCGTTTATCAATGAGCATTTAGCATTTAACAGTAAAGAAAAACAGGATCTTTTGCTTCTGATTCTTTCAGATCTAAACCAGAGGTAGACCAATTAGCGTCTGCTCATAATGTGGGCTCATTCTGAACGCTGCGCCTCCGATTCTGACTCAAAGCTTTATTGATGAGACCTGAACTGAGTCTGATGCAGAGGAATGTTCTAAAAGCTCCAACACAAAATCACCGTTTTCTCACTGCAAAAAAAATACCTGGATCTGGGACTTTATCACCTTAAGCCCAGAGGGTCTTAGGAGCAAACTACATATGTGAATTAAACAGTTTATACAAGAATGAGGAAATCTAATTTAACGCTCTTACGAGTCATGGCTACTTGTTGATGGCGTTAAAATCATTTCTCATGTATACACGGCTAAATCCTTCATCATCTTTACCTTCGACAGGCTGCAGCCATGTCCCGAATTCCTAGATTTCCCCCCCAGCTTTGAGCAGTCCTGCATAAATATGTCGCAAAATAATATATCTAAGGAAATTGTTTTCATAAACTTTTTTAAACGCCACAATAAGAAATTTCAATGCCAATTCCGGGCTTAATTTAAAATAATTGAATGACTCACAGAAACTCTGTTAAAGCAAGTTCAGATCCCAAACTATAAATTGGAAATACAATTGTTTGTATTTCCATGACAGAAAGGCATTGAGGAATATTTTGCAGGTGGAACCACTACTTTAAATGTCACCATGTCTGATTTATAGGCGATTCAACAAAAAAATTTAAAAATATTTAGCCTTGCTAACCATGAAAACCCATTTTGAAACTCTGGATGAACCCTCAGACTTTATAGATCCACATCTTGACTATAACTCAAGCTGATTTGGACTGAATAAGTTGAAGCATGTTGGTTCCACAAAGGTTTTAGTGTTCAGTGTGGCAACAAAAAAATAAAAAAAATCTGATTTCAGCACAATGCCAAGCATGCAAAAATGAATTTTTCCACTCATAAAAGGGAATCTGCTCAGACAAAAATGCTAATTTACATTATAGGAGACCATCTAGATAAGACGAAGCCTTTGCTCCTAAGATTTAGTCGTTTTTTCATTGAAATTTACCAATAATATCACCAAGCTGAATAAAAAAGAACAGAGCAAACTTATGTAACGCACGCCGGTTACACGACCAGAAATGGTCGCATAATTACGTTAAACCGCTCTTTGGAAAAGTCTGAGCCTCTAGTTTCCAATGATGCTGGTCATTAGGGGGCGGGGCTAAAAAATGAATACCTGCTGATGCATTACTCCAGATTCACACATGTCAGATTGAATTTTAAATCTCATTTTATTTGTTTACACAGCTATAAAACAACAAGTACTTGTGAAAAAATCATTTTGAAACAGAAAATTGTAAATCCCTATTTCAAAGGCGTGTGGATGAAACACCATGCAACTGTTGAGGTGAAAACTGGCTTAGCTGCGTTGTATTCTTGCAGCATCACACCTCTGTTATCTTAAATAAACATGAAGGGCTTAATTTAACATGCAAGTAAAACAGAAATATACATCCCAGTAGGATTTGGTCATTTTTCCTGATAAACCTGGAATAGGAGTGAATAATGTCACATGTAATGCGACAGTGACCCTTTAACTGCGCTGCCAGACGACCAGTTTAGCTCTGATAAAGATAGGCCTGGAAAATTACAATAATCCAGTGATGAAGCTGTAATTCGCTGAATTACTCTTCCCTTTTCCATAAACCGTTCCAGCCAATAGTAAGCCAAACCAGATGCAGGCAGGCATCAAGCACACAGAAAACCAGCCAACAAGCGTAATGTGTTCTGCATGTCACTGGAAACTCATTAACCTGACCTCCTAGCTGTGCGTTTCCATTTCCATACATCAAAGCAAAGCAATAACTACTTTAAAATAGTACCATGTAATCCATTACTTTTCCAGGAATCCACCCATATTAACCAGTGTGCATCACACACTTAATAGCCCTGCCTTTTTGTCCAAATACCTGATAAAATCCAATTCTTTAAAAGGTTTGATCTCC